TAATATATAAATTGCTTTTCTTAATTTAAAGGAAGATTATCTTATTCCATTGGCAAATTCGCTCACCTGCTAAAATCAAAGGAAAATACACGTATTTAAAGAAATTATTTATATTTCCACTTTTATAGTGTAAGGAACAGCAGACAGATCAATGCTGAATCTTTTTATGTTTCTTTGTCTTTCCTTCCACATATTTGTGTTTGTCGTTCTAATAAACGATGACGCTCAGAAGCTGTAAGGTTGTTGGAGTCACATTCAACAAAAGTCTCCTCTGGAAATCCACCTGCAATTTTTTTTCAAGCAGCTGTCCCTATTATTGTCCTTTAGAGATGGGAGCAAAATCCTAACACCTTGAACTTCAACAGACACGCAGTTTTATCTCACTGTCTGATGTGGCATTTGAAAAAAGGAAGACTGCACGACAGGTTGGACATGAAAAGATCTCCATCCAAACCAGAGCAGCACACAAAAGCCTGGCTCATGCAGACAGCAGGGACAGGCGGCTGCTGGGAGCTGAGCGTGCGGCGCAGCAGACAGGCGGCGTGCCCACCCAGACAGTCTCTGATGAAAAGCTGTGTTCTGCAGAAGAGCAGAGAAACAAAAGGTTCAGGAGAGATGAATCAACACACTGTGCTGCCTCATCCTGACAGAGAGAAACAGACAACCATACCATCCGTGGATGCTCTGCTCATCTCTCTCTTTGTGTCTGAAAGCTTCTTGGATTGAAGCTGCAGGCAGATCTCTGAGGCAGGAATTTGCCTGTTAAGACAAAAACAAATTAGCCAGCAAATCAAAAGGCTGTTTTATAAGACATGAAGATGCTCATGCAAAAACAGGGGAAATTCATTTTCAAGATCTAGCATGAAACTGAGGCAGTCTTGATTAAAATCAACAGGTTTGAAACACATTCAGGGTATTCCACTGCAACAGTAACACTGGGAAGGGACAATGTTGATGCCTGCGGTGCAGCAAGGCTTCACCGTGGAAGTGTGTGTGTGTGTGTGAGAGAGAGTGAGAGTGCAGTGGGGCATGGAGAATGGAAGAAAAGAGTTTGAATAGTCGAGATAAAGGGCTCCAGGGGCCTGGGGTGGGGGGCACCAGACAACTGGGAGAAACTCGGACAAGAGAGCAGAGTGACTCGCAAGAGGTGACATCATCCTCCGTTTGAATAATCCCCCCCAACCAGAGAGGATTGGTTGGTTTCAGGGAGAGAGAGAGACAGAAAAAAAGAGTTGCTTGGCTATTTGCTATTCACTCCCTTTCAGTTTTGTCAGGGCGCGCTGTCTGGTGAATGCTCCATTCACGGACTCATAGTGAATCCCACGTTTCTGAAAAGACAAAAAAAAAAAAGAAAAATGAGATGCTGGAAATTATCGGTTGGAGCAACTATATACCATCCCCATTAGAGACGCCCGCATCCCATAAAGTTTTCACACCTCCTGAAAATGTTCTGGTGTTTTTGACCGACACAAAGCACAGTAGTGAAGTGGGATTCAGAGGATAGGCTATTCTAGAAAAAAAAAGAAAATAATTTAAACACTTCCGTATAGCTTTGACTGTTTTATAGGGTAATTGTCCAGCAGGAAGTTGAACCTCGACCCGGTTTCAACCCTAACACTTTTACTTCCTGGATCCATCCAGTTTATAGCCAGCCTTCCTCTTAAGAAGCAATCCCACAGCATGATTCTACCGCCACCATGGTTCACACTGAGAATGATGTAATCAGTTCAGCTGTCTCTGTACACACATTAAAATGCAACATTCAGCTCCATTAAAAACTTTAAGTAAACGTAACTCAATTCAACCCTGAGAGACGATGCAATTAGAAAATATTAAATTTATCAATACAGGTAACACAATCATGTTCTTCAAAATATTTATAAGGAAAACAAGGTGATTGTGAGGAATCAATGACTCTCTGCAATCCCTCTCTCCAAGCATCCACGTAGCGACAGTGGAGGGAAAAACTTCCTTTTAACAGGAAGAAACTTCCAGCAGAACCAGGCTCAGTGTGAGCGACCATCTGCTGAGGCCGACTGGGGTTCAAGGAGACAGACAGCTCTCTGCTGATCTGTAACATAAAATCCCAAGAAGACGTATTAAAATGTGTGGCTGTAATGTTTCAAACAGGAGAAATGTAAGTGAAGCATGGACATGGGATATGGTTGGTTTTAAATCTATCATGAAACATTTTGTGTTAAATTTACCATATGTTTGTTTTTATTAATACCATTAGAGGAGATCAAATGTTGGGGAGTGGTTTGGAAGTACCAAGTTCGATGCCCACAGCCTGCAATCTGGGTCCCTGAGCAAGACCCTTAACCCCACACTGCTCCCTGGGCGCCATACAATGGTAGCCCACTGCTCCCCAAGGGGATGGGTTAAATGCAGAGGTACATTTCTTCAATAAATTTCAATTATCAATTATTAAGTGATGAGGCATGTTTAAGTTTTTTTTTTGCATAATACACCAGATCTGTAATAATAATCTCTCTATTTTAAAAGCATGTTCCAATCTTCTTAAATGGTCCCTATGACCTTTGGAAGTGAATCCCTCAGCATGCCACATTCCCTATTGTACATTTTCCACATGTTCTTCCTCTATTTAACACTAAACCCAAAGCACGCACTAACTAAATGACTGCTTGGTTCCAAGGCAACTTGAGAGGCCCCCAAGAACAAATCAAAAGTTTCATTTTTAGTATTTAAGAATAATAAATTGTGCATTTCATTTGTATTATCATAAAAAATAGAGAAATAACGGAAATTTGGTCACACCGATGAAACATTTAGGTGAGGTTCTTAAACAGCAATTTGTTTTAAGCCCAAAGGCTTAAAGGAATTGATCTGTGTCATATCACGCTTGAATGAAAGCGTATGTATTTCAAAATACTATTTTAAGGCATTGTGAAGGGTACCAGTCTTTGTTAACAGCAATTTTGTGGTGGATTTCCCTCAACTGGATTAATCTACAGTAAAGATGGGACATTTCTAAAGTTTTCAGTGTAAGATTATGCTTCTGCAATAAAGAGATTTATTTTAATGCATCTTACACATCTTTACCACGGGACTGATTACATTTGTCTCTCACACTGCTTATATGTCTCTTCAGAGACACATAAAAACATTAGCATAGTCGGCTGTCTAACCAACTAATGTCACAACAAGATCTAGTGAAACTCATCAATTACCTTTAGTCACATTGATTACTGCATGTCTTCACAGGTCGATCAATCAGACGGCTGCAGCTAATCCATAAACCTGCTGTTTGTGTTCTCACTAAAAAATAGAGCACATGACCCTGGATTTAAAGTCTTTGGCTACCTCTAGCTCAGAGTAGAGGCGACACTTTAAATTTAACTCAATTCAGTTTATTTCTATAGCGCCAATTCACAACGCATGTCATCTCAAGGCACTTTACAGTTCAACCAGATCATACAGTCAGATTGAATCTATCTAAATAAAACCAGTTGATTCCATCGACTCATTGACTTGAAGGCAATCCCTCACACCAAACATGCTTGTAGCGACAGTGGAGAGGAAAAACTCCCTTTTAACAGGAAGAAGCCTCCAGCAGAACCAGGCTCAGTGTGAGCGGCCATCTGCCGAGGCCGACTGGGGTTCAAGGAGACAGAAGCAGAGATACAAAAAGCAACTTTAAAAGGCGGCCCTGGCCAGGCAGAAGAGCTCCAAGCCAGCTCTCATGTCAGAGGATGAAGAGAGCAAATCCAGCCCATCACAGTCAGACAAACAGGACTACACTGAAAAACACCGATCTCCAAAATCTATAAACAAAGGTGACAGCTGATATTTCTCTCCAGGATGGTGTCACGGCCAAACACTAACAGACCAGGGGCGGAGCTAGATGTGGGGCCAGGGGTAGCCATGGCCACCCTTAGCCAATCATTAGCCACCCCTACCATTTTTTTCCCTCTAATACAGACAGTGGCAGCAGTAATCTTCTCAAGTGGAATATTCAAAACATTTTAATTTTTCATGTATTAACAATTACTTGACAACAAAAACACTGGTTAATTATGCACATTAATATACTATCATAAAAGATGATAAACACAGAATTCATGCTCTTTTCAGAACTAGATTTTGTGTTATATGGGATAAAGAGAAAATTATGTATCTCTGAAAGTCATCTAGGAGTCTTCATTTAAATCATAGATAAATAACTATTTTAATAGAAACTTAATATTCAATTTATGTATATATTAGTACTTGTAAATATAAATTTTATGTAGAATAATTGTTGATAAAAGTAAGTAAGTAATGAAAAGCAAGAAATGTTTGCCCCAGAACTCAAACCTGAGAGAATTGTATCCACTATACCTTTTGTTTAGAAAACATGGATGTTTAAATATATGCGTCTATTTGTTAGCAAAGGCTGTAGGAAAGTATAGTTTGTCTTTATTTAGAAAATATGGATGTTTTGCTCGTTAATTTTCCTGTTGAAACAGTGTAAATTGACCCTGAGGTTCTGGTGCCTATCCGCTTTCGGCCACCCCTCAGTGTACAGTGGTTATTGCCTGGACAAATTTTCTCTGAAACGGATGAGGTAAAACAAAAAGCAGAGAGAGAAATACATCTATTAGTCAATAAGTAGGATTGTCTTAACTTTTTTATCGATACTGAGATACTTTCGCATAACTTATTATCATGAAAAAGTATTCCATAATCATTATTATGAGAAAGTATCTCATAATTATGCAGAAACTGGCTTAGAATTTGTTATATATATATATATATATATATATATATATATATATATATATATATATATATATATATATATATATATATATATATATATATATACATACATACACAGTATATATATCTATATATATAATTTTTATTTTATTTTACAACGACTTAATTGCAGAATGAGAGGGGTGTGAGGGTTAGAAAAATCTAATGTCACTGGCTCCTTGTTGGAGCAGAATTTCCGAGCAGCCCCTGAATGCAGCATCCATCTATCCCTCTCACCGGCTCCAGTAGAGTGAAGGTTCTAGTAGAGAAGCCAACCGTCATTCTCCTCCTTTCTTCCTTCAAGGGTGCGCGCATCACTTGTAGGAGACCAAAACGAAGAAGAAGAAGAAGAAAAGACGCTCGCGACTCACTCTTTCACCGTCTACTGGCTCGGTTCGACGCGACTTCGTGGTTCCGGACGATATCCCTCCCTCCTACTTTCACCCCGGCTTTATTTGACATTTCCATCCCCACTTTCTGACTCAGAGAGGCGGACTGGCTAACGCTGACTGGGCGTAGCTGGAGAGGGTCCTGCTAGCTTGCAGTCGCTCTAAACCGGTAAGTAGATTCTCTTAGCTTGGAGCTAGCATGCTAAAGTCGGTGACAGTGAAGTTAACCACTAAATAAGATAAATTAATAAAAACAATGGCTGTCTGGCGTGAACGTTGAAGACGTTAAAACCGTTACGGCTGCTTTTTATATTTTAGGCTGTTTTTAAATTAACTAAATTACATTAGCTGTTTTAGTGAAGGAGTGTTTCTGTTTATCTATTAAATAAATCAGAATATAAGATTTATTTCGGCTGTCATTTCGTCGTTTGGGCGGATGACTGGCTCCGTTTGGGTGAGGTGATCCAGCGGGGCGGTGGCAGCCATGGGCCAGCGGAACCTGTTAGTTACCAACTCACACTAAACGCTCCTTTTAACGTCTTTTTCTCCCTTTTTGGGGAAATATCAGCACCTCCATGTGTGGCCATTTTTGTCTGCCTTTTTTTCCCACCTAAACTTTTTTTTTTTGCCTCCCTTTTCCCTCTTCTTGCCTCCCCTCCTCCATCCTTAATCGTGGATTCCCATTGTTCTGTGATGGGCAGAAGTAGTGTGAGAAACGAGGGATGTTTCAGACGCCTCTGGGGGGGGGGGGACATTTCAGTTTTTCTCATTTTTGTGCAAATGAAATATGCAGACACCGTCTTTATTTTATTTTTTCTTTCTAATACAACATGTTTCACGTTTTTTCCCCCGGTAAATGATAACCTGATAACCTAAAGCTGAAATGTCTCTAAAGAGAGCAGTGTCCAGCTCCAATATAATCAGAGCTGATTTATGGACCCCTCAAATAGTAATCAGCTATGGTTGTTTAAAGGAATAGTACACCCAAAACATGATTAGCCTTCATTTTCTACTCACCTCCATGCTGAACAACACTCTGGAGTACTTTTTTGATATCTCAAATGCATCTGGAGATCTGGGAGGCTTCTTGCTGTCTGCTGACATTCAAATAATGGAGGTCCATGGCGCCCGAGACAGAAAGGTCCATAAAAGTCCACAAAAACGTGTCAATATTCCTCCATACTGCTCGTCCAATGTAATCCAAGTGTCCTGAGTGGGTAGCATCCAGAATTTACTCGAAACGAAGTCATTTAGAATGTTTTTAGAGCATAAACAGTAGTGTATAGGATTTCCTAATAGCGCCCCCATGCGCGCTCACGATTCTACGGAAGCCGGCAGACCAAACCAGCGCATTCAGCTCGGCAAAGAACTCATGCTCTTCCTCAACACTGAAGTCCTCAGACATTTTTCTTTCGTTGTTTCTTTCTTTGCACAGGTAAACAGCACATTTCTTCTTCTACGCTTGCATTATCGGCAGACCAGACGCTGAATGCGCACTTTCTTCCGGTTTGGTCTGCCGGCTTCCGTAGAATCGTGAGCGCGCATGGGGGCGCTATTAGGAAATCCTATACACTACTGTTTATGCTCTAAAAACATTCTAAATGACTTCGTTTCGAGTAAATTCTGGATGCTACCCACTCAGGACACTTGGATTACATTGGACGAGCAGTATGGAGGAATATTGACACGTTTTTGTGGACTTTTATGGACCTTTCTGTCTCGGGCGCCATGGACCTCCATTATTTGAATGTCAGCAGACAGCAAGAAGCCTCCCAGATCTCCAGATGCATTTGAGATATCAAAAAAGTACTCCAGAGTGTTGTTCAGCATGGAGGTGAGTAGAAAATGAAGGCTAATCATGTTTTGGGTGTACTATTCCTTTAAGGCTTTCTGACTCTATGTGGCAGGAAATCTTATTTAAAAAAGTGCAGATAATTTAACATTTGCTCATTTGAATGTCATCTCTTGAAAACTGAAAAGACAAACTGAGTAAATAATTTTTTTTTTTTTTTTTTTTTTTTTTTTTTTACAAATCAATGGCATGGATCTACTAAAGAGTGTTAGGGCCACAGGAAAAAAATGAAAAGGTTAACTGATTTTTAAATATTTTCCTCAGAATTTTGACCTTTTTTCCTCAGAATTTTGACACTTTTTTTATCAGAATTTTTTTTTTTATCAGAATTTTGACTTTTTCTATTTTATCAGAATTTTGACCTTTTTTTTCCTCAGAATTTTGGATCTTAATGTAGATGGGCACGATAAAGGAAGAGCTGTGGGAGCACTCAGCTTCAGTAACAAAGACATGAGTTGTTTGGGAGGGCCAGTAACATATTGGTGGAAAACTATGGAATTAGGTGACTTTTTATGTGCCCGAGGGGTCCCCCGACACCTAATGGAGGAGCTTAATAGAGCATATCGCTACCCGATCCGTACCGGTAGCACGATCCGTACCATCAGCTCATTTGCGCCTGCGCAAACAGAATAACTTCCGGGTCGCCAAAAAATAATGTAATTACGGTACTGAAAAAACTTTATTTATATCCTTAAATAATTAAAGAATACTAAACTACATCTTAAAGACAATATTGAAAACTTTTCTGGAAGAAATGGATGCTTTTTAAATTCAATCCATTGTATTGCTTGACGTCATTTTTTCTGGAATAAAAATCCAAATTTTCGGGAAATGTTCCCTTATCAATGAAAAACTGCAGGTCACGAAAGGTAGCAAATGAATCCATTGTGGGATCAGTACTGCTGGAGTGCATAGTTAAGTACAGAGTAAATCAAATATTTAAACAAATTTAAATATATACGCTGTGTGCCGTATATTTGCGCATGCTCAGAGCAGTCAAAGTAACTCACAAGGCGATTGAACTTTTTTATGTATTTCTGTTTTTTTATTTTTAGAAAATGCAATATTGACGAAAATACAAAGATATACAAAAAGAAACCCATGCCTCTAAAAAATACAAAAGAATAAAAAAGTAAGAAAAAGGAAATATTGCCACCGGAAGTTATTCTGTTTGCGCACGTGCAAATGAGCTGATGGTACGGATCAGGTAATGACAGAGCAGCAGAAGGTGATTAAAACAAACATGGCTAGGGCTTGATGCTAACATGTTTGTTAGCTGTCAGAATTCAGTTCCGAGATTAGTCAGAAATCTGACTTTTTTCTCATATTATACTGAAATAAAATTTAAAAATCAGCTAACATTTTTATTTTTTTCAGTGGCCCTAATCCTCTTCTGTATGGATCAATCAATCAGTCATGAGTCGTAATAGCCAACAGATCAAAAACTTGTTTATTTTTTCTCTGATCATATATCTTTCTAAACTAATAAAATGGCTAATTGAGAAGTGCATCGATCAACAGTTGAAGTCTAAAGCTTAGGGAGGCACTTTGATGCCTACATGTAAAGAAAGATGTTTGTTTTTTTTCTCTTGAATTACAACCTCCATCAAAGAGGCTGCATTTAATGTTTTTCTGTAGAGCTATAGTCCTTGTATTGAAATTGAAATTTGTTTGTCAGGCTTTAAGGCTTAATGTCTTAATAAAGGTAAACCAGGCTGTCTTTTTCTGGGTATACTGATTGGGGTTTTCTGTGAAATGTGACCTCATACTTTATTTATTTTTTTCCCTTTTGTGTGATAATGTTTTTTAGTCCAATTCATTGAAAATACAATCCTTTCATCATGTTTTGTTTTTTTTTTGTTTTTTGCCTTTATCGATTTTTAAACCTCTGGTTTACTTCGAGGTCTTGAGTTTCTGAATTAATATTTTTCCCTAAAGATGCATTATTGAATAAGGGTGTGCAAAATAATCGTAAAATCGATGAATCGTGATTCTAATTTTTGTGATCTACTGAATCGATTCTTGAAGGCAAGAATCGATTATAAAAAAAAAAAAAAATGAACAAATAAAATACATTAATGGTTGGCGCACATCAATCAAACCAAGTGGAATACAACTTCCAGTCCAGCAGATGTCGCTGCGGATGTGTTGACGCCTGCTGCTTTGTGTCATAAGCATGTCCGGGCTGATTATCCTCATTTTGTTATTTTAAGTTTGATGAATCCTAAGATCTTTTTGTTGGTGTGTCCATGCCAGTAATAGTAATATTTCTGTCCAGTATTTGTTTTCATGGCAACACCTCCAAAAGTAATTTCAATAAATACAGCTATGTATGAATTCAGTTGCTTTCAGTTATGTATCAATTGAAGACGCTATCCAGATCACACCCAGCCAGTCAGCCACTGGTAAGGGCTGTATCTTTTTCTTACAGTGTTCAGTGAAAATATCACAATGCATCGCAATATTTCAAGTATCGTGATGCATCGTGATAGAATCGCATCGTGGCATGTGAATCGTGATTCGAATCGAATCGTGACTTCTTTGCCAATACCCACCCCTATTATTGAAAATATGTTTTTTTCATCAAAGTGGTTGATCTTCTAAATCTGGCTGTAATCCATGTAAGTGAGCTCAGATGGAGTCATGGACTTTCCTTTAGTTTGAGGTTAAGAAGGAGGAAACACTTTTTCTATTGTGGGTTATTGCTAGAAGTAGATGGTTATTTGATTACCTGATTAAAACCTCAATTCAAAACATAGAAACTTTTTTTTTCCACTTAGACCTTATTTTTTTAAATCTTTTTAAGAAAACAGCATAAGCAGCTTAAAGCCAGACCGTGTCGGCCAGTAATATGTGGCGATCCACCATGATGTTGAAGTCATCCAGAATAAATGGCATCCCAGGGCAACTAAGATGAGCCTTTTTAAGGGCTGGCTATGCTGGGGCTTGGAGGCACTCCCAGCACTCCTAGGTTAGGGGTGAGCCAGACCCCCACCCCACCCTATGATGGTGGATGAATGAATGCCTGAGTCATGTTGGACGGGGCTGGGACATGAAAGACAGCCAGGCTAATGCAATCGAGTGAAATTAAATGTAACCGCCATTAAAAGGCACACTGCTTAAATGAAGTTATCTGGGGGCGACTGGGAGAGATTATTACTTGGAGCATGTGGATCAGAGCCAGAGGCGTTCTGTTGGTGGGGAGGATTTATTGGGAAAGGAAAACAAATGAAGCTGTTTGCGGTGTCTGTGGGGGAAAGATGGATGGAGATATTATTCCTCCATTTCAGTGCTTAGAAGTAGATAGTGGAATGGGT